CCCTATCATCATTATTATCAACATCATCCTCAGCAACAACAGCCGTTATCACCAGGAAAGAATTGTGCATCGCTGTTGTTAGCTGCAGCTAAGCATTCTGTGTGGAAATGCATTTGCCGGAGGCATCATTATCGTCATCGTCGTCATCTGCCGGGCGTCTGTAGATGCGAGCACGAAAAGATATGATTAGAGTGCACACCTCAGGGTGGAGAAGCACTAAGCTTACTTGAACAGCTGGTATCCGTGGCCGCGGCCAGGCCTCTTCCTGAGCCTCCTCTCCTGCAGTTTTCCATCTCAGTTTCTGCTGCTTCCTTTCTGCCCTTCACCGAATTCATCTCGTTCTTTCGCTTTCATAATTCAACTGACGACGGTCTTAGTGTTCAAGTTCCGGGCTGTGGACCCGGACTTGCGCTGGCTCCTTTACCTCTACTTTTGTAGGTTGCCTTGAATACTCTTGCTTTTGGCTACGCCATTTGATCATTATCTGGGTCCTTGGTGCAACCGCACAGTTTCCAGTGGCTGTCGAGAGTTCATTGTCTGTCTCACTCCCTCACAAAAACTTCATCCACATGTTTCTGGTTTCTGTGCACTATAACATTTATGAAAAACATTTGTAACGGAACATCTTGCAGTCTCATCCAGTCGAAGTCAATTTGATCGCTTTCTTACTCGATTTTTGCGATATCTAAAAGATCCCCTGACGGATCTTTTAAGATTATGACTGCGAGCCTTGGTTTTTTCCGCCTGAGCTTAATTGGTCAGGCGGTTACGCAATCTGTCAAACTGATATGATCAGGAAGGCTTGTATTTTATCGGTGGCAGATTTAATTTAGTGGCGGGGAGCGCTACTCACAGATTTAAAACTACGGGTTTGATTATGCCAGTAAGAAAACCAATCCCTCTTCCATTCGCTCATTTGTTTCGATGGTAGATTAGTATTAACAGATGTTAGTGAGTCAGAGCCATCATCTAGTTGCCTTTAATCAAGTTTTCAAAAAAAAAAACACCCCTAGCAAGGGGTTAGTGGATGGCTGTGTTGCTGGTAGTACACCCTCCACTCGTACTTCTTTCGAGAGCCTCCATCTCAGGTCAGTATTGCGATATGAAGGAGGTTTTGTATTTAACTGCATTTGGTGTAAGTTTGGCTGTCAAAGAAGAAAGAATAATTTTACAACGAAGTTGCTAATGATTGTCTACCCATTCTTTCAAAATATAAGAGCGTATTATCAATGTTTGTTATAGCAATAAGAGTAGAAGAAGCAAAAGGAAACGATGAGTTCGAAGGTTTGATATTAATAACACGGGTGAACTAAAAATAGCGACAAATATGAAAAAAAAACATTAAAAGTAATGGAAATTTAGCTTCGGCTGATGATGTTTCAGTGCGGGATTCGATCAGAAACCTTTTTGGTAACTTTTTAGTAACGATGACACTAACTGCGGGCAAGCAGTCGTGCTGTCTGGAGCGAGCACGGAGACACCCGGCGACCTGTTGAACGAAACGAGTGCAAGCCAAGCTTTTTGAGCTTAGAATTTTTATGATGTTGCGCAGCTCAACTGCATGTGAGGATGAAGTCTTTTATTAGCAGCCAAGCGAGCGTTTTCATGGGTCATACGGTCTGAAAAATTTAGTAATATAGGTATTGATGAGATCTCTTGATCTCTTGTAAAATTCAAAATCTTGGACTCGTCTACCGAGTTCAAAATTTTGAATTTTTCCACAACAGAAGTAACGCTCTAGAAAAAGCGATCAAAATGTCAAAGTCAGTAATAATCAATGATCGCTGAGTTTGCTCGAAGAATGGATAAGTTTCAATGTTGCCGCATTGCTGCATTTTGGAATTCTTTTATTTCCAAGGAGAATATTACCAAAATTTTGCAATTCTGCATTCAAATCGTGATTTTCAAGGTAGAACTGTAGCATACTAAGTAATGATCTGCTCGCAAGCAAGGGGAAAAACCAAGAAAACCAATACTGCACAAGAATTTGGTGATACTGCTACTGACTTACATTCAGAAATCTGGCACATCAATACTAGGCCTTTCAACTCAGGAAAAAGTATTGGGCCTAAAAATATATTCATTTTGGCACTTTTAACGCTAAAAACTTTCTAATACCCCTTGTCCGCTTTTATCAACCCAAACTCAACTGAAGACGAAACCAAAAAGCATATACCTCGGGAAGAAAGAAGGAAAATAGGGCTGCATAAAATTTGTAGGGGAAAAGTCTGAAGAGGAAACAAAAAGATCGCAGAAATACTCAGTACACGATTTGATACGTCAAATCAGGGGTAATACAAGAAAGAAAAATGTCTAAAAAATGTTGGTAACGGAGAAATGAAGTCATGAAGATATCTGTAGCCACTGCCCGAATAGCGTTGGTAACTACATTGTGAGAGATTCGTGTGCAAGTAATATATGCCTGAAGCGGAGTGATTCCCGGCAGAAACTTGTGCGTAGTGTGATTAAGCTTCAGGGAGTGATTTTCTTTTAGCAGTCGTATTTTAGCAGCAATACATTTGGTGGAATGATACACAGAACATAATCTTGTTTGTTCTAGAACAGGCGATGAGTACCAACTGGAGGCATGCGGCCCAGGATCTAAGGGCCTGGCATAACTGCGCCCAACACGTACGGAAGCATCCTAGTAACATCACTAACAGGAGACAGACACACTAATAACCCGAACATTTTGGTATTCTTAGTTTGTTGTTTTTCAATCTGGTCAAGATTTTAAACTGAGTGCAACGCACCATCATAATGCATCCTCTCTCAGATTAACGAAACGATTCGATGAAGATCTGAATTATTGGAAATTCTTGCTATGCTGTACTGAAAAATCACTGTTCTCGACGATCTCTCCCTTCTTGTGCAGAAGCGGAAGCCAGTAACAGCACGGAATGAGATTGCTATTGCAATCAAATGTTTTTTCGATCAACTAATCCCGATGCCTATTTGACGAACTATAATTTACTTCAAGATTTTATTATTATCTAGGCTAAGTAGGATTTCTAAGTGCGAAGGTGTTTGTCTTGTTCTTCTCTAATATCATTACCAGGACAGAGGAATAGCAAGAATCGTGACGAAAAAGTTCACCCTATTGGATTTTCTGGTTCTAAAATTGAAAAATTGTGCAATTCCAAATTTTACATGCCCGCATATAAGATCCTAGCGTAAGTGAAAGCAGACTTTCGGGTTTATATTTCGTAGGCAGCGCTACGCCGCAAAAACGCATAAAAAATTGAATGAGCATGAAGCAAAGTGATTTCTGTTCATCAAATGTCTTCCTCAGCGTATTTGGTAAGCAATTTTGCATCGATGGCGAAATTCTTCGAGCGTTTATTTTCACACACGGTATTGCACTGGTCCCAGCCTTTGCAGAAAATGTTAACTGACTTTGTGACCAATGCGGCGTAAAAAAGACTTCAGTAGTACGGCGAAGTAAAATTCCGAACACTGAAAAACAAATCTATATATGTTTGACCACGGGACTTAAAGACAATCACCAATTCACTGATCTAGCTTATTGATAGTCTGGAGTACGCAGTACAACTGAGCAACGATTTTGGACACAATGCTAAGCCGTACAGAAACAGTACTGGAGCCTTTATAAAGTGGCGGGACGTTTTTTTCAAGTTAGGACTTCTCAGTTTCATCGTTATGAGTTCTGCTTCATGAAAGTGGAAAGCGGGATATTCCGCCCCGCTGAAAAGTTAGCAGTGAACAAGGGGTAGAACTACGCTCCAAGTAATTGTTAGCAAGTGCATCGTACTCCTAAGTAAGTACTGCGACTTCAGTCTGATGTGAGTGACATTATCTAGACAGCGTGGGACAGGAGGGAGAGTTCAGCTCGTCATGTGGCAAGAACGGAAGAAAACAGATGGACAGTATTAAGACAACACGGGGGAAGATACCTATGGGAATATTTTACTGGAATTCTTACTTAGAATTATGAGGATGATAGAGGCTTAGAACAAAGCAGAACAGAGATACTTGCAGCTACATTAATAGTGAGAAGGGACTCGGTTATAAAAGCAGCACTTTTTCAAAACACCTGTGCCGCTCCAAATATTTGAAACATTGTAAATTTCTGTTTGGTCTTCCTTTCTTCTTTTCGCTTACCTTCTGCCTATACGTTGCTAAAAAATGTTGCTTTGATACACTGGGCAATAGCTTCCACTTGCCGTTGTGTGGCCAATGGCTCATGTGAATATTACGGGATAGTTCATTAGAAGTGCTCTGACTGAAGAGTACTGTTCGAACAGAGTATGTGTATGTGAAATTTGATCGCGGCAAAATTAGATTATTCATTGCGAATTCCAAATTAACAGGCTTTGTCCAGGTCTGGTCACTAAAAACAAATGGCCACGACGGTTCGCTGAAATTGGAGAGAAGAGTGTGGATCGCGCAGAATCGGTCAATGAACACGAAGTCTGACATCCTGTGGAGATGTGTTTGAGCTGTCTATGCTTATCCGTGCAATATGCTCTTTCTTTGGCTGCTAGCAACAGTACACTGCTCACAGATCCTGGCTTTCGCTGCAGATAGAGGCGATGCTGAATGTCAGGATTTATGCGACCATCACGCCGACAATGCGGCTTATGAAATTTGCCTTGAAAAGTGCTCTTCAGGACGATCCATGTCCAAGACATTCACTGCCAGAAGTATGCTTAATGTACTGTAACCTCAAGAACTCGCTGACGGAAGACAAAAAGAGCAAGCTGTCGAGTGCATCCATTCATGGCAGCGTTTCGGGCAGAGCTATAGATGGATCCTTAATTCATGAACTGCATAGCAAATAGGGCGGCAATCCCGGCATGTAGGTGAGCTGAAGGCAACTTGCCGGGCGAGTAGCCAGTCCAAGAGAAGTTGCTGGATTTCTATGCCTTGAATCACAGGCATAATTTTGATTTCTTTGATTATTTTTGAAAACCTAGGTTAAAAAAAACTCATTACGATGCATCCCTACTTATCACCCAATACTCTTGTTGCTGGCGCATTTCATTCAGTGCCTCAGGTGAAACTGTTTTCTTACTCAGGCAAAACTAAGTGTTTTCTTACTTTTGCGCTTCTTCAGGTGCCATCGGTTTCTTTAATCGCCTTTCCCGAATTAGCATTCACACCGCTCATCAACGTATTCTTGGTTTTTATTTTAATTAGAGCTAATCATCTGCTTGAACGAATTGCTTTACAAAATTATGCATTTAATAAAAAGCGGCCTAGTAAAGAGCGTTGTGCGAGAAACAATGGCCGACCATGCGTTGTGAAAGCGAAGATCGCTTGTAAAACAAAAACAGTTTTGTGTTTACGCCTTGTTACTTACCAAAAGTATAATCGAGTCTGTCTGAACTTTAAAGCACACACTACTCAATAAATTCAGAAGACTAACACCAATCCCGCATCAATATGTAGAAAGAAATCTCGAAATCTTGGATCACACAAAAAGCAAAAAAATCTTGACTTGCACAAAAAATCAGAACCATGAAACAATACGCGGCTTGAAGACTGGCCTAGAACGATGAAACAGAACACGGCTTGAAGGCTGGTTTGAAACTGGTTTCAGATTTATTTGTTTATTGTTTTTTGATAATAAACTCCGAAAATTTTCATTTTGGTAACATTTTTACTCTCTGCTCACATCACTGTACTAAATTTGAACCTCGGCTTGCACGTTCAGGTGCAAAGTGGAATTATGGTTGCTCCCAAGTTTACGACCTTACACACACTCCAGGTTCATCCAGTCGAAACTCGTTTTGTGAGTTGTGTCTTTTTGAAATTCCTCGAAAGCTAAAGTGCTTTCAAGAATTTTGTTGTTACAGTATCATAGTGTCGAGCAGTAGTATATATTAAATGTAGTGTAGCATAATATGAAGTGTAGTAACAAATGAATAATAAGCTAAAAGTTAGAGCACATTAAATCCCACACATCAGCTCCCGCAACACATCAATGCAACAGCTGCTGTGAAACGTAAGAAATAATAATGGCATAAAGGTGAACAAAAATCACACACTTATCTTTGCATGTATACGGATATATCAAAGCCTTCGAAAAGATGGCATACGTTTATCGAGCAGATGATGAGTACTAACTAGAAATTGAAGGACCTGGCCTAACTGCGCGCGGCATCTGGAGTCATCCTCATCACTAATGGGGCACCCACACTGACAGCCCGACCATTCCTGGTATTCTTGTTATACATTAGTTGCAAACGTGGATGAAATGTAAAACATTTTCAGGCTATCCTCCGCCGCCATTCAATATAAGCGTCAGTACGACGACAATTATTGGGGATGTCAAATTTCTTGAATCAGCTGTAAGATGGGACTGTGAACCTGGTATGACATTAATTCTGTTTCTATATTTTTTCATGTTTTTTCATTTCCTTAATAATTCTAAACTGTGAATGATCAATCAAGTTTGATGCAATTATCAATATTATTATCGCCGTTATTATCATTGTTATTATTACTCTCAATATTATTTGGGTTTTTGCTATAGTACTACTACGTTATTATTATTCTATTTTGTTATGGTACCTTTACCATCACTATTTTTAAATGTTTCCAATGATATTTATTTTTATGTATTTTGCGCTGTTAACAGTAGTCTCCTACCTACGTGCGACCTCTTAAATTTAAAATCATTTTTCAGCCAAGCCTGGGTCCCAGTTACTCCCCGTAAAAGTTTCTGTGGGAAAAATTGCTATCTCGGAAGCCATGAAAGATAGGTAACTGAGATTTTGGGAGTATGTGACGTCGCAGAAACAAATTCAGCTTCCATATGCGCCTACATCCTCTATGCGGCCCCGCGAAAATTTTGATGGGGAAAATTATTATCTCAGGAACAAGAAGAGCTATGAGGCTGAAATTTCAGGAGGATTTTTTCTGCCTATGAAGATACTTCACAATCACAAATTCAGCTCCCAAGTATGCTGATTTCTTAAGTACGACTACGGGAGTGTTTTGATGCAAAAATCGCTGGTTCAGAAACCCACCCAAGGTCTCAAATTCAGCTTTCACATAGCCACACGTGAAATTTTTAGTGAGAAATTTCGCAACTTAGAAGCCAGACAACATTTCGCAACGAAAATCCTTAGCAGACAAACGTTTGATGAGGAGAATTACGCAAGGCTTGTGACTGCATCGGCTACCATAGCTCGCGTCGCTATTTATTTTATTATCATTTCATCATTATCTCTATTCTTA